CTTTTATAAAGAATATCTCTTTGGATTTGAGACTTTAGTCTTTGCAACTTTACAGATCTTCTTTATGCACCAAGAGCTTGTAACACTCCAAAGAGAAAGGAAAAATTGAAATCGCATCACATGACCCCTTTAAATGATGACAGAACTTTAATTTTTGGGTGAACTGTCCCGTTAAGTGAGGTTATATTTTCTAGAAAAGAGAGATTATGGTCCTGCAGCCACAGGGTTTTATGTTTATAGCTGTAAGTAAAGTCCAGGATTTTAACATAAGACACCCCATATTTAATGTGTTAATTAAACTTAATTGTGATATTGATATGCACCTGTGATTTGTAATTGATAATTTGTGTTTTATTGTATTATTGCCACATAATCAAGCACTGTCTATAAGTTTGACATTTGCTGTGCCTCGTGTTTGGTTGCATGAGCTTTCAGCTCGAAGCCCTGGAGCTAGAGGCACTTGGACTCGAATCTGGCACGGAATCTTATATTTTGGACTTAATATGAATTAAAATGAATAATAAGTACAAACAACATACAATTAAAGTAAGACAAGGGCCTAGACTCGACAAGGTGGACTCGGAACCAACAGTAGTCTACCTGGAGCACTGGCCCCACTGGCTGTATTCTAATTTTATACCCCAGTACTCAATATTTCAATTATGGCTGTGGCTCATTTTTACCATATTAACATACAGCATAAAACATAATGCTAACAATATGTCATGGGGCTCATATTTAACACAAGAGTGATGCTGACGATCCATCTGTGGATCTGAGCATATTCTTTTCAGCATTTTTGAAACAAGCAGGATAACTTAATATCATAGATAGCACACTCATGTTTTCCTTATTTCCGTGTTTTTTTTTTCTTTAAATAAAAATTTCAATTTAAAGAAATGTATGTGTGTGTATATATATATATAGTTCATTTTGTGTCCCAGTTCAGTCATGATATTCAGCTCATAAAAATATAATCTAGAAAAATATATTTTACATTTTAGCCTACACTGTAAATTATGTAGCCTACAAATTACAACAATACTATAATTCCTTTATATAAATGACTAAAAAGAGTTTGCACGTTTTAATAAAATGCTAATAAAAATGTCAGTTTCATATGTTTTGAATTGCCATAAAAGTCGTTCAGCTATTGGCATTTTACAGTCACATCCTTTGATCACTCCGTCCTCGGCTCATTGAGAATCAAATCAAGCATGCTCGAATGAGTCGACTCGTGATTCAGTTTAGCCAGTGAAAGAGAGCAGCTCAGAGTCAGACCAGGGGTGCGTTTCCCAAAAGCATCGTTAGCTAACTATGGTCGCAAGTTCTATTGAACTCTATTGCTAACGACGGAACGTGCGAACATATCAGCTTCTGGTGAACGCTTCTTTTAAAGACTAGTTTTGTGAACCGATTCATCACAAAGATCCGACTCAAAAGCATGATTCGATGCCGAATCGTACGTCGCTACTAGGTAGGCTGCTCGCTGTGTTTTGAAACGCAGCCGGTGTCTGAGCATGTGCTGTTACTACTGCAGTAGAGTAAAATATGTCAGTTATCACCGGACAGCGGCGAGAGGACAGAGAGAGCCGGCTACAAATGTACTCTGAGGGGCAACCGGTGCAACGAGTTTCTGTTTAACACCAAAATGAGCCCCGGCTCCTCTACATCTACAGCAGCGGAAGAATAATACGGTAAGTCTCGCCGGCTTTTAGGATGTTTCATCAGACCCAGTCGAGTTTCCTGCATGGGCTATCCCACAATTTACACGAGCTCGAGTCAGAGTAAACCGGTGCACCTTTCTGAACGTTTACTCGCCCACCAGCTTGCTGCTTTACAGACTGTTATCACCCAAATATGCGAACGAGGAAGTCAACGCTGCCATCTCCATCGCATTTGATCCTAAACGCGCTAATTTGCGCTCAAATCTTTAATTACGAAGAAACTTGCTTAAGTTTGACCATTTGCCGTGTTGCATCTGTCTATATCGTTTCTTTGTTGTCCGATACAAAAACGACAGGAAACTTTATGTAACGTTTTTACTAGAAAAACGAAGTGCTCAGAGTCCGTACTGCTGTAAATCACACTGTAATGTTGTGCTGTTCGACAGTGTGGAGTTGTGTCTGCGCAGGCGACGCGGAGCTGCAGTGGTCGGTTGTCATGGAGGCCTGCGCTGCGCATCCGACCGCCGCTGCTGCTGTCACGACTGCGGTATATTCAGTCTCACACGAAAACCCCTCAAATTTACATATCCCAAACAATTCGTATTATTATGAACATGTCAGGTGCTAATCAGGTCGCATCATTATTTTTTGACGACACTTCAGAAACAGACAGTATTTTGAGTAAACAGACCAAAAGAGTTCAAATTCTTTACACGTATTGCGTCACTTGTTATAAACAGACCTTTGGCACTGGCTTCTCACTTCTTCCATCTCAGTCACCCAATATACAATACGGTTAAGCGTATATAAACATGACACGTGCCCTTTAAGAGGTCGTTCCGGGATAGTTTGGATGGGTCGATATTTACTACGCAGACTATGTCCTCTGATGTTTCATACCGCTAAGCTGAAGCCCCACTTACATCAGCAGTGTGAGATCAAAGACACTCGAAGCTTACTTGATTAAAACTGGGGATTTGGTGTTTAGTGTGGCAGATCAGCTCCACGCTGTTTCACTTGCCCACATCTCAGTCTTGCTTCTCAAAATAAGACGTGTAGTTATGGTAAATGTCGGTTTGTCATTATTTTATTCTTCAAAGAAGACTTGCCATGTCAGTCTTTTTTAACATCACTGTGGCTTGGTGCTGTCATGTGACTAACCCTCTCTAATAAAGCTCAGAAGTTGTTAATCTCTTGGCGCTGACCCATATGTTAGCAGGCTGGAGAGTCTGGGACATACTTGTGGTCCTTTCGGGGGAACAAACTGAAAGGATAAGCTCTTGGGCTGCTTCATAATCACTTGAAGTAAAGAGTATATAAGAGGACTGACTGCAGAGCGGGACTGGGTGGTCCTGATCAACCTAATCATGAGCTTGGCCCACCTTGAGAGTCCTATGGCCAACCATATTAAACTACCATGATATCGCTAGCACTCAGTGTTATTTTAGAATTATTTATATAGCCTACTTATTATAGTATTTATTATTTTTGAATTCATTTTTATATTTTCAGTTTTCATTTTAGTAGATTTAGTTTTATGTGCTTTCGTTTTTATAGTTCTATTTACCTTTATTTTTATTTTAGTTTTTAGTTATTTAATTAAGCTTAAATTTATTGTATTTCAATTAGTTACCAAGGCAGCATTTCTAATGTTTAAGGTTTTTTTTAATTTAACTTTTCCATTTAAGATTTTATTTGATTTTAATGTTTTTATTTATTTCAAATAAAAATAACTATTTTTAATAGTTTTAGTTCACAATATCAATACTGGTAGCACTACAGTACTTTTTCATCTTAAATTATTTAAGACAAAAATGATTTATGTATTTAATTATTGTATATATCTAGAATACATTTTCCGCCCCCCAAAAGTCCCTTTTTTCAGAAACGGAGGGTTGCAGATTGTGAAAAGTATTTTTTAATCATACTTTACATTTTTATTATTTTAATAATTTAATATAAATAATGCTGGGTAAGATTTTATGAGTAGTAATAGACCAATATATGGGGAAAATTTAGGCCATTTTAAGATTATTGACATTTGCATTTTTTTATAAATATAAGCATTTAATATTGACAAATTCACTTATGTCTCTGTCTCTCTCTCTCTGCCTTTGAAAAACATATTAACCAAAAATTATGTGACTGTTATTATTTAGCCACTCCTTATTACTAACGGCTTTCAGCTACTATTGTTTTGCATTTTTTTAAATTTGTGCCTCATTAACGCTGATGAGTGAAACTCAGGATGAATTGTCCGCCCCATGCTGAAGAATTTAATGAAACTGGTTCTGCCTCTATCATGAAACACGATCATCCTTTAACAGCCTTGAGGAGGCTTATCAGCACTTCTCTTACCTGATGAGAAGAATGAAGGCTGTGTGCGGGCTGGAGCCAAGCTGATGTCTAGAGTAGCTGAGCTGTGTGCGCTATTGATCCATTGCCATTTATATTTGTGCAGAGTGGAGTGAACTCATGGCAAGAGACCAGAGCTCTCATCAGTCACCTCTAGAAATAGCAGTAATAAGAATGCATCGGAGCCTGTCATTCCAGTGCGTCAAAGGAGGATGTTATAGTACATTATCCCTGCCATTGATGTGCCTTTGTTCTCTTGGCAGGTGTGTGCTTGATATTGACAAAAAGGACAGAGTGAAAAAAAACACAACATCTTGGATAGTGTAGCCGTTATGATGCCTGAAATTCCCATAGTACTCAAATGGGCACTTAAAGGGAGAGTTCACCATATTTTTTTTATGCCATGCATTTAAAAAAAAATGTTCCATGGAACACAAAAGGAGATATTTTGTGCAATGTTCAAGCTGCTCATCTATATGGCGGAAGCAACAACCAAGCTCCAGAAAAATGCACCATAAAAATAGTCCATGCACTGCCGTTGTGTGCTACTTAAGTGAATCAGTATTATTTATATAATATTGTAGTGTTTATTAATATTTCAGCTTTTATTTTCAGTTCACATATACATATACATACAGAAATATATATATATATATATATATATATATATATTTCTGTATAGCTTTACATTTACTTATTTCAGTTTTAGTCATTTTAGTACTTCAACTTTCAGTTACCAGAAATGATTTTTGAATAGATTTAGTTAACAGTAAAAACACTAAAAGAAATGTTGTGGGTTCAGTACAAGTTAAGCTTAATCAACAGCTCTTATGGCATGACGTTGATTACCACAAAAAATCATTTCCACTTGTCCCACAGTTTTCTTAAAAAATCTGGGTTACACGAGGCACTTACAGTGGAAGTGAATGGGGTCAATCTGTAAATGTTAAAATAATATAGTTAATGTTTTAATTGTGTAGCGACAAGACGTAAACAATAGTAATGTAAAAAAAATATTTGAATGTAAAAATATCACTAACCTTCTCTTTTTAAAGTTATATTCAATTTTACAACAACTTCATTGCCATGACAAGCATCATAATATGTAAGAATAAATGTAAGTTTCACATTTCTGCTTTTGAATCCTCCAAATATTGCATTTCATTGTAAGTGCCTCACTCTGTGTGAGTGCCTTTCAGTTTTTTAAAAAGAAAACGAGAGACGGATACTGTTCCTGTTTGTAGTAATTAACCTAATGCCATGAATGCCTGCGATTGAGCATCATTTGCTAAAACAACTTTAAAATATTCCACTTATTTGCATTTGGCACACATATCTGAAATACCATTTCATGTACTTTGCCCTTACTAATAGACAAATTCTTCAACCAATTCCTCTTTTTATTTGCACATAACAGTGATTCCCTGGCGGCTAGACAGAAACAATTCTCATCCAATGTCACATAAAGCAGTCGTTCTGCTTTGATGCTGCTCTGTGCAGCTGAGCTTGCGTGTCTGTGTGGTATAGTGACGACCAGGCTGTCAGCAGTGACTGGTCTGTTCAGGTTGTTGAGAAGGTCAATAGAGGTTTGACAGGAGGGATCAATAGCAATGCTGACTGCAAGGCCAGTAAACGGGTAACATGTAAACACCGTACCACGCATTGGGCTCTGTACTAGACAACTCTTAATGCAAGGTTGTCCGGATGACTGAGCACTTGTGTCTTCTATTGTGGCTCAAGAGCTGTCTTATCTCAATGCATAGATTAATATTTCATAATGGCCTTTCCATTAGAGTGCAGAATATCAGCCTTTTAGCAATGTGTGCTGCACTCTCATGGAGTTACTCTGATAAAACCTTTGGAGTTTCCAAGTATGAAATGCAATTTTTATCAAGTGTTATTTATAACGCCTCTCACCATCTCATTAAAAAAAAAAATAAAATAACAATAGACAAAACAACGTCTAAACAGTACTGTTTAAATGACACAAAAGTAAAAACAATAATGTAATCAGAAATGGAAACAGTAAGAACGGTAAGATAAATGATTAATCAAAAGTGACACTGAATACTTTTACACTGTTGCAAAAATTTGTTTCAAATAAATGCTATTCTTTATATTCATCAAAGAAAAATAAATGCATCATACTCATAATCAGGACAACTGTTTTCAACATAATAAGAAATGTTATTTAAGCAGCAAATCAGCATATTAGAATGATTTCTGAAAGATCATGTGACGGCGAAGACTGGAGTAATGATGCTGGAAATTCAGCTTTGCCATCACAGGAATAAAATACATTTAAAAAAATAATTAAATATTTATAAAAATCTTAAAATATGAAAACAGTTCTTTTAAATTGTAATCATGTTTCATGTTACCGTGTTCACTGTATTTATGATCAAATAAATTAGCCTTTGTAACTATAAGATATATATATATGTTTCATGAACACACAAACACAAAAAATGTAGTGTGTGTGTATATATATATATAAGGCTGTATATTTCTTCATAGTGTGTTCTTGCTGTTGTTAAGTAACTAAGAGCTTTGCTTGTAGTACACTAAATATTTTCTGTCCCGAGCTGGTTAAAATGTTAAGCATGCCCAGTTCAGAACATTTGGAGATGCTTGTAACACCAGACACTCTTCCTTTTTGTGAAGATATTTTAGAAGAGCTGGAAGTATTAGATTCTAGAAACAGTGGCTGCATTTATCTCGGTAACACCTTTGACACCTTTGACGTGTGAGGCTTTTATCATATGCACGGATTTTTTTTTTGTGAGATTAAAATTACAACACTTAGGAATTCTCATTCTTAGTGTTAGGTTAACAGAATTCTTATAATATTATACACGATTATAATTTTCACAAATACAATGGAATAATATTAATGTGTATTACAAACTGTGTAAAAAAAATAGATTTAGTCTTACACTGATAGCTACAAATAAGTGCAATATATGATGGAATGTATTTCCCAATAGACTTATATTGTAAGTGTATTACTGGAAACACAAATATTCTTTGTTTTTAGGGGAAAGTTGAAATGAATGTCTGTGGTGATGGACAGCATGTTATAGAAGCTTAAATTGTTTTGCACCTGTAACATTCCTTTAAAACAAAGCTATTACTCCACTCAATTTAACAGGACTGTATGTTTACATTTTTTATTTTTTTTTCATTTTAGTACACGAGTACCACATTGGCATCGGCAGCAAAGCTCAGAAGTACCGCTCTCTTTGGACCCTGACAGACAGTGTGAAGTGTGGACCGTGAGACTGCCAGACAGCAGGTTGGTTAAATCTGCAAATATTACTGTTTTTCATAATGTCCCACTCTTGTTTGTTTCCCTCCCTATCCATTGAATCCTCAGTCTAGTTTAATCACAGTACAGGCTATATTAGTTTTTGTTTTTCAAATAAGATTAGCAGATCTATTTTAAATGTGATGGTGCACTTTGTAAAGGTTTGTATTCGATCTAAGGAGGTGTGAATTATAGAGTCACTTGAGTTCCCATGATGCCCTTGGAGCAAGACACTTAACCTCCATGTGCTCTCGGATGACTGTCCCTACAATTAGCCTACAGTAAGCAGCTTTGGCTGAGAGAAATGTCTGCTAAATGGCAAGTAACCAAAGTGTAATTGATAGGCCATAATGAGATCACATTCACCTCTAATTCATTTTCACACACATCTTCAGCAGCAGTTGAATATCAAAACGGTCATAATTGCCTAAGAATTGATCAGCCATCTCTACGGATTCACTGTGATGTTAGTTGTACACAGATGAGCTGTTTTAGGACTTTTAAGCCCTTCAGAGGCCCTCTGACATATGATACTGTATTTTAAGCTGTGTACAGTGTGTGTGTATGTACATGGATTTAAAGCAAAGGACAGTTGAAAGTGTTTGTTGGCTCATGTAACTAGGATCAGTTATTTTTCGCTTATGTCTGCAAGTGACCCCGTTCATTAATCCAGCTCATATGCTACTTGAGATTATATTCTGTCATTTATTAATAGTATATTGTAGATGCTACTACTGTGTGTTGTCATGCAGCATTTGTATTTTGTTGGGTATGTTTGGTGTAGCATAGTACTCTACTCTATTTTTTTCTGCAATATATAAACTACCGTTGAAATGTTTGGGGTTGGTACTATTTTTGATGTCTCTTATGCTCAACAAAGCATTTATTTGATCAAAAATACATAAATATTATGTATTAATACATAAAATACAGTAATATTATTACAATTTAATATTTATAATAACTGCTTTCTATTTTAATATATTTTAAAATATTTTAAAAAGTAACATTTATCAGCAGTTTATATAAATGTATTTACTGTCTCTTTTGAACAAAAGTATCTCCTTGCGGAATAAAAGTATTAATTACAATTAATAATAATAAAAAATAATAATAATTTACTAACCCCAAACATTTGAACGGTAGTGTAAATTGGGCACAACATGCTAATTTTTTGTATGAATAAATTACCCAATTGGCCTACTATTTGGCCCAGATTTGCCAACAAAGCTCCCTATGTGAAATACTGTATCCCAAAATGTAATGCACTCAGTTTGTCCTTCCATTTTCATGTAATAATTAAACTGTAAGTAATATCGGCAGAATTTTAAACTTTTTTTTTTTAACCTTTCACAGCCAAAAGTTAAGACATTTTTAAAGATGTCTTAAGATTTGATTAAAAAAAACAAAACAAAGCAAAACCAAGAATTATTTTTGTTTCCCGATATGATAAATGTATGCATTTACATTTAACGTGCAGCCGTCTGTCTCTTCTGTTGACTAATCGCTTGACCCCGTATGCCACTCACTAAATTTCAGAGGTCAAGATTACTGGTTAGCATGACCCCGTTAGCCCTTACCGCAACTTTGTCAATTGATGGCCAATCAAAAGTGTCCATGTTTTTTCACAAAATAAAATATGTTAGCAATATATAAATAGGAAATGTTTCATTTTATTATAGCAAATATTTTACCAGTGACCATTTTTGCAGAGTCCTTTAAAAACGTAATATTGAAAGTTAACATTTTTTATATTTTCATTTAATTTAGCATTATTGTGGTGTCACTAGCCAGTTTTCAGCATCTCGTGATGTTATTTCCCTGCAGCTCCTAAACCATTAAGGCCCACTCACACCAAGGACGATAACTGTAAAGATAACGATAAAGATATAGTTCTAAAAATCGTTCTCCATATTAAAGAATAGCAGAGTCCACACCACAGCTATAACGATAAAGGCACAGAGAAACGATATTGTTGGAATCACTTTCAGAACATTTTTTTTCTCCAGCTGATAAACGATAAAAATATTGACACCCAATCAGAATCCATCCTGCTATAACGAGCTCGAGAATTTAAAGCGGAATTATTTTTGTTTCCCGATATGATAAATGTATGCATTTACATTTACATTTACATTTAGTAATTTAGCAGACGCTTTTATCCAAAGCGACTTACAATTGGGGGATACATAAAAATATTGACACCCAATCAGAATCCATCCTGCTATAACGAGCTCGAGAATTTAAAGCGGCAGACGAGTGTGCACTTAGAATAAACAAATGATATCGTCCACTGGTTTGGACGCCAATATCTTTATCTTTATAGTTATCGTTCTTGGTGTGAATGGGCCTTTAGTCAAGATTTGCTGCCCAGGTAATTTGTCTCAAAAACAAAACCGTGCCCACAATCAGTTACTGCTGTTTTACATACTATTTTGTATACACTGTATACTGCACAGTATGCTAGTATTTCATTCAGAACATAGCCTCTGTTGCAGCATATGCAGATTTGTAACACTTTTATTTATTTATTTTTTTTACCTCCTGAAGCCTATACGTCAAAATAAAAGGAAGATGATCAACATGGCAAACACAATGACCCCTGAGCCCCTTACAGCCCTCTCTCGATGGTACTTGTATGCCATCCACGGTTACTTCTGTGAAGTCATGTTCACGGCCGCCTGGGAGTTTGTGGTGAACTGCAACTGGAAGTTTCCCGGCGTGACGAGCGTGTGGGCCCTCTTCATCTACGGAACCTGCATCCTGATCGTAGAGCGCATGTACCTTTGTCTACGGGACTGCTGCAATGTGCTGCTCCGCTGCATCATTTACACACTGTGGACATACCTGTGGGAGTTTGGCACGGGTTTGCTGCTACGACAGTTCGACGCTTGTCCATGGGACTACTCGGAGTTTAAATATAACTTCATGGGCCTGATCACGGCAGAGTATGCTGTGCCTTGGTTCTGCGCCTCCTTTATCGTAGAACGCCTAGTGATCCGCAACACGCTCCGGTTGCGCTTCGACGAGGCCGCCGATCCCGGCCAGTCTGAAGAACGTTCGGACAGAGGCGGTGGAGGACGAGGAGGTGGAGGGCGAAGAGCACGATGGGCCAGAGCAGGGGCCACCAGCGCAAATGGCTACGTGAAGGTGGATTGAGGATGTTGTCAACACCTATCCCCATTTCAAAGCTCCCGTCACCCATGACTCTCTCCGCACATCTCTCAATCTCTCTCCCACTTGCTTCCAGGGAA